CAAAGGGTGCCGCGACTAAAAAAAGGTTGGGAAACACTGCTTTAGCCTGTTGATTTTCATTCATATTCAGCTAACAAGGACATATTTTGCAATAAGAGTTAGAATAAATGTGAATGATATATAAGATTTTTTATTTTTTATTTATTATTATTATTATTTTTATTTATTTTTTTACCTTATTGGAATCGAAATTAGGCATTGACAAGAATCGGAATCATAAAAATTCAAACGATGCCCAACCTTACCCATACCTCACATCATTTTTTACTGGCACCTTTCTATTCACCGTTTTAAACCCTTTCTTTTCTTTTAAACCCTCACTTACCCTTCTTTGCTTTTACATGAATGTACAATCTTTTACATGAATGTACTTTCCAAAATTAGTTATAAAACAGTTTCTCCTGGCAACAGGGAAAGGTAGTATGTTTGCTTAACATAGCGTCAAACATGACAATTTATGAGACTAATATCATGTGTAGGGCTGTCGCGATTCGTCGATTTTATTCGATTTTTAAAAATCCTCGACTTCATTTTGCTCGCGTCGACTAACCGGCAAAATACCGGAAGTGGCGCATTTCATAAATAAGCATAATTGTAAATTCTCAAACGCTACGATTTAATTAAATAATTATGTGCGATGCAGTTCTAATACAATATATGCGCTTTAATTATTTACATGCGTGTACAGGGCCGGATTTACGCATAGGCATTCTAGGCACGTGCCTATGCTTGCTCGTCCAGGGGGGGCCCAAACACAATGAAGAGATATATCATATTTTTGTTATACTATGGGATATCTACAGTAGTAAAAGAACCAAAACCCCAGAAGACATTGAGCAAATAAATATAACAAATAATAGGGTAAAATTGACAACCTATTTCCATGTCGTCAACCTTTTTTGATGTACGGAAATCACACTTTCTTTCTCCCGTTCTCTCTCACACACGCACACACATAGACACGTACTCGCGGAGACGCGGACAGAAACTTGTCATCAGCGCTGCGGCTGTCCCGCGAATTTATCAATAAAAGAGCTTCGCAGCTGAAAAGCTACAAGACATTTCTCAGTAGCGAGGTTCTTGAAGCAGTTCAAAGATTCGCTATTAGTTGTATTAAGACTTGTATGGTCATGAATGCATGAACTAGCTTTTCTGCATTAGAAACAGGTAACATGTTTCGTAACTTGGCAATGTTTCTAAGATGGAAGAATGCTGTTTTTGTAACATGGGAAATATGATTTTCAAAAGACAAGTTATCATGCGTTGGTGTGGACACTAATATGATTATCGTTAGAGTTATCTTTATAGTACTCATTCTTGGTGACAACAGGCGTTTAGTGGACCTTATGTCAAAAGTTGTAACTTACACTCAGCTGGTACAACTAGCTCTAGCCTCCTCCAACTGCTGTTTTCATTGACATTGTTGTTCTCTTCCTGACAAGTATTAAAATGGGAAAACTTGTTAAATGTAATGTTTACTTTTTAATCCATCTTTCTCCTTAGGCATCGCAACTGAAAGATCAAGGTAACAAGGTGTTGAGCGCAGGAAATGTTGACGAGGCGGTTAGGTGCTACACTGTGGCCCTGACATTAGACCCTTCCAATCACGTCCTCTTCAGCAACCGGTCTGCCGCCTATGCCAAGAAGGGCGATTATGACAATGCCCTGAAAGATGCCTGCCAAACCATAAAGATTAAGCCGGACTGGGGCAAGGTGAGTTGTTACTGCTGTTAGTGTCACTTAGGGGTGGGAGATCCTCCCAAAATATTATATCATGATCTTATCTCACAATTACGATTCTCAATCTGAATCGCTATCTTCCCAATTTTGAGATGTACTTTTGAGAATATCCAGACTGGAACAAGCCTATGCCTTATCTATTTGAAGAGTTTAAAACACAGTATTGCATTAAACAACAGTGTCCTTTGCAGTTAATGTGCTTTTAATAACTTTTTAAAATAAAGCATTAGTTTTCCCACAGTAGACTGCAGTTTGCAACAGTCACATTACATGATTGGACCGATTTGGACATTAAGTTTAGAAGAGGGGAAAGCACACCAATTTAAGGACATAAAAGATTGTAGATCGTAGACGTCTTCAAGATTGATCACAATATAAAATTGTCAGATCGCCCACCCCAAGTGTCGCTCTTTCCCTGATCTCCTTCTGTTGCCATTTCTACTTTAGTTTTAATCTTCAATTTTCATCTTTTATTAAGGGCTACTCAAGAAAAGCAGCTGCTTTGGAATTTCTTGGGCGACTAGAGGATGCCAAAGCGACCTATCAGGAGGGGATACGCCAAGAGCCGTCCAATCAGCAACTCAAGGAGGGACTTCAGAAAATTGAAGCACGCTTGGCAGGTAAGGAATGTCTCCTCCTTTTAACCATGATTTTGGAAGAATTTCCACAAAGCAAAACATTTGATACGAAACCAACGGATCTGTTCACATCAAGAGTAGAGTGTAATGTTGTATACACCTTATCTTACAAAATGGATTTTGGATTTTTGTCTTGTTCAAGGCAAAATATTCACTCTCAGTGTGAAGCCTAAGAGCACATATCAGTTTGAAATTAATGTACTTTAAGCCTCTTTGGGTGAAAAATACCTAGTAGTTTTCCTGGTTGTTTGTATCTAGTGCCTATTTTTGTTATGATATGAATTTTTAATATACCGCAATTCCGGTGTACATCGCTTAAACAACGTTTGGAACGCGACGTGGCGCGATGGGGTCCCTTTTCACTGTGCTGAGGGCACAGCTGTATTACTAAGCGGGACAGTGAAGATGGACACCCCTCTACAATGCGAGTAAATCACTCGCATATGCGACTAAATCTTCACTTTGGGCAACTAAATTATGTCTAATATTAGCCTTGGTTGGAGTTGGAGGCTTAGTATAAGTTTATCACGGACATATGTTCACTCACCGAACACATTGACAGAGCGCTTCTGAGTCTCATTCTCTGTCAAGCGATCTGTGCTATTTTTCAGTTCATCTCAATGGATGCGCAGCGCACCTGTATTTGACGTACTGTAAACTCTTGTGTAATGGCGCACACCTCACCGTCGCTTTGTCTCACACAAAAGCAAAGAAAGAGACAGCAGAGAGTCTTACATAACATGCAGAATTGACACGCTACATGTAAACGATATTCTTTGTTGTATTTTCCTGTCAAAATAACGGAGTTCCTTTGGAATTCTTCAGCTTTTAAGAATTGCCGGGTTGTCTGGTAGTGGGCGGAACTAATGCGCAATCGGCAGTCTCATTGGCTGGCGCTGACTTATTATCGTCCCTGTTTTGATTTCAGCAAATCAGTTCGAGCGAACGCAGACAACGTGATTAATATTCATGATCCCAGCAGGTCATTAATGCTTAGTGCGTTTAATATTGTTATTAGTAGTAGAATTCGTAGTAGTATTGTTATCTTATCAGTATTATGTTTAGTTTTAGTTTTTCCTTTTTTTATAGAAGCAATAAATGACAAACAATATCTTAAGCACCAGCACCAGTCCTAAGATCAGTTAAAATGACAATTTTTGAAGTCAATCTACTGCAGTATTTCCTCTCTCAATCAGTAGAAAATGTGGTTAACACCATGCATGAAAAATAAAAACACCGTCATATACTGTGAAACCAAGACAATTTTGAAAAATACCGTGATATAAATTTTTGTTCATACCACCCAGCACTACTTGTACCTTTTTCTTAAAATTAAAATATTCTTTGTTGTGTCAGTGGAGGAACATGGTGAGAAACTGAAAGATTTAATGTGATAACTGATGATTTCATGTTCTTTTCAGAGCGAAAGATGATGAACCCATTTTCCATTCCCAACTTGTATGAAAAGCTGGAGGGTGACCATCGAACCAGAGCACTCCTGTCTGACCCCAGCTACAGGGAGCTGCTGGAGCAGCTCAGGAACAAGCCCTCAGAGCTTGGCACGTAAGTGTTCTGTATGCCTTCTGCCTTTCGGTTTCTATTTGTGTATTTCTTTGCATAATGTACAGTCGGCTTGTCATTATCACATAATAATCCGCGACACTACGCAATGGTCTCTTGTATAGTGGTTTGCTGATATTTGGCATTTCTTAGTGGTGTCAACCAATAACTATCTGACTTTTTTGACAGCGCTGAGAATGCAGTGCCTGAGCACAGATGCACAGAAGCTTCTATTTTCTTCAGAAGTTTACAGTCTTTGTTAAATCCCTCTTAAAAAAAAAAAAAAAAAAAAAAAACTATAATATGTAGGGATGGACCAATACCACTTTTTCAGAAGAAGCTCAATACCTATACTTATTATTTTTGGTACTTGCCTATACCGAGTACCAGTACCTGTATTTTCATGCCAATTTTTCACAATTTTTAAAAATACGGGGTACAGAAACTAAAAGAATATGAATAATGTTAGTTAGCTTAGTTAATTTAGCAAATAAATATTTCCTTCAGTTATTTTCACACTTATGCCCATTAAAATGTATTGTTTAAGCTTGTTACTTTCACTGTTCATTTTATTGCTCTGTCGTATTTCATCTTTAATTTTAAAAGCACATCAGAACTGCTCCATTGCAGCGGCTCAGCACTGTAATCACAAGACATTTTCTTTTAACAATGCAGGAAGGTTATACATAAATCTAATTAGGGGTGGGCGATATAGCCTCAAAATTATATCACGATATTTCAAGAATATTTGCTATGACGATATAGAAAAAAAAACATGGAACTTTTTATTGACTGCAGCTGGCAGGCAGCAGCATTTATTAGTGCAAACAAAATGAAGGGCATTTTCCTTTTCCAATGAGCTACTGTCATGGCAGACTACCTAATTTGAAGTGTAAATCTATTGTCATAAGGTGGCAGCAGCAGCTGTGTGTTCGACTTGAAGCAGACCAATCGGTGTATGACATCAAAATACCGCGAGAGTGACTTACCCCTTATTTACACTGCACGCGTCTGTGGCGCATTACGACTTCGACGCGGCCACTCTAGTCAATGCTTGTGTTTACACCAGTGGAGCCGCGGCACATTTCAGAATTTTCTTTCTGCGCTGCTTCGCTAAAGATATGCGCCTCGCCTATTTTTGAAGGTAAGAGTGTGCGCTCGAATATGCTCTGGAACCGCTCTTGCGATACTTTGATGTCATACACCGATCAGTCTGCGCAGCGCTGCTTCAAGTCGAACACACCTAATGGGTTTGTGGTGGTGGTGTTGTTGTTGTGCGTGCTTAAGTCATGTTCTGAAATGTGATGTGACTTCCAAAGCGACTCATATAATGCAATTAACATCAAGCAAGCAAAGCAAGCAAAA